TTCAGAGAGATTCCATCTAGTCCCATTAATTAAAAAAGAAAATATATATATATACACCTGCAGCATTACTCAGTTAGTCATAAATCACATGAACCCACTTGGAAATTACCCATCAGGACGTCCAAGGGGACAGTAGGCTGTCACAGTGATCCCTTTGGAGTGGCAGTAGTCAATCAGCTTCTCCTGGGAAAGGTATGGATGAGACTCAATCTGCCAACACAGATGCATAAACTGAGAGCTGTAAAACTACTGTAGTTTTCCCCTGCCCCAGAGGTTTTTCTGAATCCTAATTTGCTAATTAGAGCTTGCTTTCACCCCACCCTGCAGGTGGCCTATGTGACAATACAAGACTATAATTCTATAGGGCACCAACTTTTGAGTCTTTATGTGCTTTTTGGATTTTTTTCTGAGAGGCTTTATAAGAGTCAATCATTATGTCAGAATGATCCCTCATATGTGGATTCTTCATGCCTCCAGAGAGAATGATTCCTAGGAAAACACTCCAAAGTTCAACAAGATGAGACGAAAAGGAAATATTCTGGTTCTGTTTGTATGAAGAAATGTCCAGAGAGAGGGATTTAAACTACAAGCTCTGTCTACTTTGTTCTCCCTTTTTCCACCCCCTCATTCAACTGTAATTGGATCTTTATAATCCCTGAAAAGTATTCCCCTGCAGTCACTTTGCAGCTCACCTGATTATTTGCAGGCTTGTGCTTCAGTCCTGGCTTGTTCAAGATTCTTTCAATCTGCTCACGGTTGAAGTTGGAGATTCCAATGGCTTTTACCAGGCCAGCATCCACCAGCTCCTCCATGGCCTGGCAGAAAGGGGAGCACAGTCAGCATGCAGTGGGTTAAGAGATGACAGAACACATTTTTCCTGACATGCTCTGTTTGTCTTCATGGGAAGCAATGTTTAAATTTTTAAACAATCTTTTAAAATGAACAATTTTTTAAACCGCCTTTTTAAAACCGTGTGCTTCTCTGAGTTCTTTCCAACTAATTCTGCATCCATGGCTGAACATTCTGCAGCCAGCACTGCTGAGGACAGGAGATGTGACTCTTCCACTCAGGATGAACTCACCTCCCATGTCTGCAGGATATCTGTGTTGCTGGGGATAGCCATGCCTTTGTCATCTGCAGGGAACAGATCCTCTCCTGCCTGTCAGTGACAGAGAAAGTGCTTGAAAATCTCTTGACGAATCCACTTGAGTGCTCACAACCACAATATCCTAAACTTCTAGTGCAAGACTGCTGGCTCTTCTCTACACTCAGTCATTCCTTCTGAGAAGTGAAGGAATTTAAGGCATTTTTGCCAGTGACCATTCCCAGTAGAAGAGGTTTTTCTGCCAGACCCCTGGAAGTGATGGCTCACCCAAACACCCACAGGGAAACAAATCAGTCAGAGCTGCAGCCTCCAGTCTCACATGTGCTCCCTTCAGGGGCTGTTCATTGGTTCCCACTTAGCAAGAACCATTTTGTTCTTATTCCAGGGGGCATCAACACTTTGGTCTACACAACACCAGATCTACTGAAAAGAACTGTTGTGTGCACTGACAGCTCTTCCATGACAACACTCAGTGCAAAGCCACCAACACTAGGAAAGCTGGAAGAGCCTTTGTGTACAAGTTATGAAAAGATGCCAAGACTGAACTGTGTTTAGCAGCTGTTTGCTGCTGTCATCATGAGACAGTTTCATCTTCATGGCTCTGCTCATATAAAATTAAAATAAAGCATGCAAAAGCCATGAGCATCTCAAAGGCAACAGGTAGAATGGGAAGGGATCAGACTGAATGAGGGTACAAAGGCTGTGACTAGAAATATTCAAACTCAGACATCCACTCCTAAACACTCTCACAAAAATTTCACCTTTTAAATTCCTGTCTCAGTGGAACAACACTAAGGCTTCTACAAGCAAGGCCAGCTCAATCTGTACTGCATTATGGACTTGCTGATTAAAGAGAGAAATGGAAAACAGAAATGCTTTCTTTTGCTCCCTGATTCTGTAGCACACAAAGGAAAATTGCAGAGAAGCAGCAAAAAGCAATCTTGTTCCCACAAGGGGTGATTCTGAGATGATCACACACTGGATTTGCAAGAGAAAAGGAAAGCAAGCCTTCTATGGATTTCAGGCCATCATTCCCAGGATCAAAGGGGTATGAAAACAACTGCCTCTGGAGCAGAGACCAAGAGCCTCAGTCACACAGGGTCAAGCTGAGCACCAGAGCAGTGCTGCCACAGATAACAGCACGTAATTGTCAGCCAGAACAACTGTTGGGCTGTTAAGCCACACACAAGAAACAAAGTTAAGGGCATTGCTGCTACTGTACCTTGAAGCCAAAAGGCCAGTGGACAAGGTAGAGGTCCAGGTAAGCCAGCTTCAGGTCTGCAAGAGTCTTCTGGCAGGCTCCCTTCACCAGAGGCTTCTCGTGGAAGGTGCACCACAGCTGGAGACAAAAACAGGGCAGACTGTGACCTCCTGGGGGAAAGCTCTGCAGTGCTCTCCTGCACAGCACAGCACTGCTCCCTGTTCTTGGGAACGAGCTGTGGAATGGGCCTGCCCAGTGCTCTTCACACGCAGCGAGGCTGGGCTGTGTGGCAGCACAGGAAACAAGAGAACAGGATCAGGAATTACCTAATTTACTTTACAAAATTCTCCAGTGCTACGGCGTTTAACTGTGTTAAATGTTAGATGATCCTAGCACAGGTAAAACGAGCGTGTCCATAATCCATGACTATCTGATCCATACCTTGCTGACCACGAAGAGATCCTCTCGTTTCACAGCACCTTCCTTAATTTTCTGCTGGATCCCTTCCCCAACTTCCTTCTCATTCTGGTACACATAGGCACAGTCGAAGTGGCGGTACCCGGCATCGATGGCAGCCATCACCGCAGCCGTCACCTTCCCTGGGGGGGACTAGAGGGAAAAAAGGGCAGGACAGGTCTCGCTGAGGGATTCTCAGGCGCTGCCCCGTCCCGCAGCGCGGTGCCCGCCTCACCTTCCATGTGCCGAGCCCCATGAGAGGCGCGCTGGCAGCGGCGCCGAGCCGCACGTACCCCGCCATGCCGGCCATGTTTGCCCCGCGCCCGCAGCCAATCAGCGCCGCCGCTCTGCGCGAGCCCGCCGCGCCAACCAATCAGCGCCCCCGTTCCGCGCGAGCCCGTCGCGCCAACCAATCAGCAGCGGAGCCGGCAGGCAATGGAGCCCGCTGGGCGGTCATGGGGGATGCAGTGAGGGGAGAGCCCGTGTGGGAGGGAGCCCGAGTAGAAGGGAATCCCGGTGTTCCCGCGGGAGAAGGGTGAAATTCCTTACGGAAGGATAAGGGCTGAGCGCTGGGGTGTCCCGGCCCGGATCCTGCAGCGCCCTGCCCCTGTCCCTCGGGGTGTCCGTGTTTATCCTCCTTGTGCCATGTCCCCGGGTGTTCTGACGCCCGCTCGGTTCCCTGAGAGTGACACCAACACGGGACAAACAGTTTCACTCTGGGGCGAGTTTGCGAGTCATTTCGGAAATGATCAGTACAAATCACTTCCTTTTAAATGCTTTTCCTTTAAGGGTATTTTAATGCGTTTTCCAAACTCCTGAAGAACGCTGAGTTTACAGCGAATATCACAAGGACGGCGTTGTCCCTGTGCCTTAGGAAGTGCAGACCGTATTTCAGAAGGAAACACACAAGTGTGGAAATAAACGGTAGGCGGCCTTTTAATTTCACTTTAGAAACTGACTTTGCAATTTCGGAGAGGCTGAGCAGATGGGATGTTGAAAGTGCAATGAAAAATAAATTAATTTATCAACAGGATCCTCCCAAGTGCTCCATAATGGTCTGCTTGGGAGGCTTTGCTGTTTGCTCGTGCTTGGAGAATTCCTTCAGGTACAAACAAATCTGAAATATGCACTATGGGGTGTTTTTCTCTGGATGCCTCTCCCACAGCAGACACCCAAGATTTTTCTGCTTCATTTAACTGAAGGCAGACAGAATCATTAGTTTTAATTACATCTTCCCCCAGGTTTCTGGCAGTGCTGTCAGCTGTCCTCTGCAGGATGTGGTGTTGCGGTTTAACCACACAGGAGAGCAGGGCTGAGAAATGCAATTTGTCCTTCCACTCACTTCATTCTGTGAACTGATGTTCTCCTGTGAAGGCTGGTGCTTGGTTTTCCCAAGGCATGCTGTGAGAGACACCTTGGTTTTTTATAGAGGATTTTGGGCAGAAGGTTTTGTGTTGTGCTTTGTTTGCCTTGCCCAGACCGTGCCAATCTCCAGGAGGTGACATTTGTGTCTGTCCTGAAGGTGTGGCTGGGGCTGTCAGGTGATGGCAGGGCCTTTAAGAAAAGAGTATATGTTGGAACAGAATATTTACATTGCTAAATGGTGTGCATTGGTTCAACTTCCAGGTGCTTGTTTAGGCAGGAATAAAACAGGGGGGTAGAGATTTAATCTGATTTTAAATATTGGCCTCCTTCTTGCCTTGAGTTCAGATCAAGCCAGGAGCATCCTCTGAGGTCCCACCACTCTCTCCGTGTCTTCTCACGAGGTTTTTTTTCCAAGATCTGTGATAATTCTTGTATGTGTCTATTCAAAACAGGGCTGTGGCAGGTGAGGAGAGGACATGGTGGGTGCTGAGGGATGGCAGGGAAAATGCTGAGTGTCCCAGGCAGGATCTGTGTCCCCTCTCTGCAGTGACTGCAACCCACCCCTCTGTGCATCTCTGGGCAGGACGGTTTTGGGTTTCTCCTACAGTAGACAGAAAACTTTCCACCAATTAGGTTTTTGCATTTTAAAGTTAATTTTATTTAAAATGCATGGCACTTCTCATGGAATAGTGGATCTGTGGGGTGTGTTTGTCAACATCTGGTTTCTGCTGATTCAAGACTGAAGGGAATAGTGGTGCTGTAGAAAATACTCTTTCCTTCTTCCAAAAACCCCAAATGTTGTGGGATAAACATCCCATGTCTTCCCTGGCAGATGGCACCAGAGGTCTGGTGAAGGCCATGTTACAAACACCTTCAGTATTCTGCATGGAAAGGGTATTCCTTGAGATTTTTGGACCTGAAAGAAATAAAAGTGGAACTGTTATTTTCACCCATGATTAAAAATTAGAATGTAGTTTGGTTTAAAGTCTGTGTTGTTTTTAAAATGAAAATATCAAGCCCTTTCCTGAAAATGTTATTTTTTTGGGACAAACCATCTGTGTTGGCATGATATTTAAAAAAATTGAATTTAATGTTACCTAGAAGGTGTGACACAAAATTCCTTGTAAAGAATATCCAGAATTTAAGATTTAGAAGAAAACAAGCAGCATCACTTACACGTTCATTTCACAGATCCTCCAGTTTCTGTTGAAGGACAGAATAGTTGCCATCTCCTCTTTAGTCAGTTCAAAGTCAAACACCTAATTAGAAATACAAGGGGAAATCACTTCTTTGAACACACCTAAGAGAAATACAAGAGCTCCACACTGGAGATTCCATTTTCACACATGGACCACTGAATTATGAAAAACAACTTGTTTTATGGACATAAGGATTATTTGATGAACATTGCTGATTCTAGATGTTTCAGGCATATTCCTGTGGGGGGATTCCAAGCAAGCTGTGACCATGATATTTTCTGAAAAATCCCTTTGCCAGGATTTCTTCTCCTGGGAAGCTGGAAAGCTTCAGCGTCTCCCTGTTTTGCTGCTCTGGAATGTGATTTGGAGAATTGTTTATCCAAACGTGAATTGTTTTTAATTCATGACCAATCACCATCAGCTGTGTTGGACTCTGAGGAGTCAGTCACGGGTTTTTAATATTCATTCTTGTTAAACCTTCTGATGTATCCTTCTCTTTCTTTAGTATAGTTTCAGTATAGCATAATATAATATAATATAATATAATATAATATAATATAATATAATATAATATAATATAATAATAAATCAGCCTTCTGAGACATGGAGTCAGGTTCATCTCTTCCCTCATCCTGGGGACCCTCACAGACACCACACTCATCCATCCACAAACCATGGAACAGGGAATGCTATCATGCAAAGATTGCTGATTAAACTCTCAAGAAGGAGGCCTGGTTTAACACTCAGTCAAGTGCAGTTAAGCAGGAAGAAGCCCAGCCCTCTTGCTGCAGGAGCCCGTGGCAAGGGTGATAAAGGATCCAAAGCATCCCTGAGGGGCAGCCCCTGCTCACTCCTGATCCCTCACCTGGAAGTTCTCCACAATGCGCTGTGGGGTGACAGATTTGGGAATCACAATCACATTTCTCTGGATCTGGAAGCGGAGGAGAACCTGCAAGGACAGACAACTGAATCATTCCTCCTGTTCCAACAGCTGTTTTCCCTGAGCCATCCCCACTTCTGCAGAGCTGCATTTCAAATCATCCCTGGCCCTGCAGTCCAGGCTGTGAGAGAAGCAGAGAAAATAATGATCAAAACAATTCTTACCTCATTTGCTACTGCTGTGTTTGTACTCATGCAGAATGTGTTCTAGAGGTTGTTTACCCAATGTGATTGCTTGATTAGATTCTAGTAAATTGTTTGTGTTAATTAGCCTATCAAGTCCAAGCTGTCAGGAGAAAGTCACGAGTTTTCTTTAGTATTCTTAAATATTCTTTGTAGTATTTATATAATCTATAATATAATATATATGATATATATTATATATAACATATATGATATAATGTATTATATATAATATAGAATGTATATTTTATATCATATATACAATACATAATATATAATATATGATAAATGGTATATACTATATAGTGTGGTAATATAATATAATATAATATAATATAATATAATATAATATAATATAATATAATACAATATAATTTTAATGAAAGGAGTGTTCAGCATTCCAAAGCCTTAAAGTCAGATACCAATCATTTCCTGCCTCAGGGGTCACCTGTGACTGCTATAGAGAGGAAGTGACATCTGAAGGTGGTCAAGAATCTTTTTGATGGCCAAAGAGTTAATAGTGTGTCCTGGAGGTAATATAATAAAAAATCTGCATTGTTAGGGAAATATCAGAGGAGTGCCACAATTCATGGGGAAGGGACAGAGGTTCTGGACTTTCTGGAGCTCTGTTTTCCTACATTGGGAAGGAGTACCCACCTGTGCTGGGGTTTTGTTGTGCTTGGCTGCAATCTCTTTGATCTTGGGGTCATCCAGAAGGGAAGGATCCCCAGGCTTAGCCCTACACAGAGGAAACAAATCAGTGGCAAAAAACCTCCACAGAAATATTCAGCACAGCAACAGAGATCTGTGTTTAAATAGGAAATGAGTGGTGTATGTGTAGTCTCAGGGCTTCAATCATAACCCCCAGCAGCTCCCTGGCAGATTGCAAAGCAAATTTACCATGGTCTGTCAGGAGAGCCAAGGGGACAGTATGCAGTCACAGCCAGCCCTTTGGACTGACAGTACTTGATCAGCTTCTCCTGGGTGAGGTATGGATGAGATTCAATCTGCCAACACAAAAACAAAGAGTCTGACAGTGGCAATATTTCAACTGCTGAAATATTGTTGTGCTCCATAAATTATCTCCTGGTCCAATTAGAGGCTGCTTTTTTCCCTAATTTGACAGTGGCCTGCATGATAATACCCATCCTTAGTATCAAAACACCTATTTTAATACAAAGGGCTTGTACAGTTTTTGCTGGGGGGGGTTCACAAAGCTCATCTCTGGGTCATTCCTTATTCCAGAAAGGCTGTTTTGAGGGAACTTCTCCAACATCCTTAAACAGTGGTTCAGCAAGGTGATACAAAACAAATAGTAGTATCCAAGTGCTGTACTCTGAAATATCCATAGAGAGGCATTTAAAGTACATGCTGTATCTTCTCTGTTCATCCTTCTCCTATCTCCTCATTCCACTGTAAATGGATGTTTATAATCCCACAAATCCACTCACCTACAGTCACTGTACAGCTCACCTGGACATTTGCAGGCTTGTGCTTCAGTCCTGGCTTGTTCAAGATTCTTTCAATCTGCTCATGGTTGAAGTTGGAGAATCCAATGGCTTTTACCAATCCACAGTCCATCAGCTCCTCCATGGCCTAAAACAGCAAAATCATCATCCAGTGTGCAAGGCAGCTCATGATGATGTTCTTCCTAATGTGACTTGTTTCCCACCATGAGCAGCACAGAATAACTGTTTGAAATTGCAAAGTTCTCTGAGGGAAAAGCAGGTGCTGGCACATTAATGCCATCTCACCCAAGCCCAAATGCTCATTCCCTGAGTGTGTAGAAATTCACATTGGGTTGCATGAGGAGAAGAATGATGATACTCAGTAATCCACTGTTGTCCAAGCTTTGGAGGGCTGTCCCACACATTACAGGCCAGATCTCAACCTAAAATGACTTTATTTCTCTGAAATTTGTTTGAGCAACTCAAGAAAGGCACAAGAACAGTGGTGAAAACAGTTGTACAGTTGTTATTGTTCCACAGTGAACATTTTCTAGTTTCAGTCTGGTGTGCAGCTGCACTGGAAGTGCTTGTGCAGCTCCAGTCAAGTAAGAACTCAGAGAATAGGGATAACCAGGGAAGGATTAAGCATGCCCATTATGAAAAGCTATTTTGTACTGCCTTATGTTCCTTCCAGCTAATTTTGTGTGAACAAGACAACAGTTCTGTGACTGCTGAAGGTAATGGAAGCATGGCAAAGACTGATGAGGACAGAGGACATTCCTCATCTGCTCTGGCTGAGTTTACCTCCCACGTCTGTAGAAGATCACTGTTGCTGGGTATGGCCATGCCTTTGTCATCTTTGGGAAACAATTCCTCTCCAGCCTATTAGAGAGAGAGAAAAGCCTTGAAATAATTTCTGCTGAGACATTAGCTGTGTGAAATCAGCCAACAGGGATGTAAGGAGCTAAAGCTAATACTGCATTAAAAAAAAATCAAGTAATGCTCACCATAACTTAACCAGTTCTTCAGTCACTTCTTAGTTCATGCATTTTTGTCATCTATTATCCCAATAAAGACAGCTGTTTCTGCTGGACCCTCTGAAGTGATGATCCACAAAGTGCATGCAGGGAAGTGGTTAACTTATAGAACAATATTCTGGAGTCTTACATGAGTTCACTCCAAGTATTGTTCAAGTAACAGTTTCTGTAGGTGTTTTTAAAAAGCTCTGTGGAGGACTGACTTTGGCCCTATGAACACAGACATTTATACTGGAGTGCATCTGCTGACACATGTCCCATGAGGAGGCTCACTGTTGAAATTGCTGTATTAGAAAATTTAGAACAGCCTGTAACTAGACAGTGTGGCCAAAGTATTTTGAATTATTGGAATTATCTAAATGCCACAATATTGTGCAGTTTCACTTGACAACTTTGTCCATGTAGAGCTAACTAAAACAATATTGAAGGAATGGAGTTAAGCTCAAAAGCATAAGGGAGAATAGAGATTTTGATAGGTATCTTTTTGAAATCCAAAGTCTGTGAAACAACACTAAGGCTCCTACAGGCAAGGTCAGCTCAATCTGTACTGTATTAAGGATTTGGTGATCAAAGAGAGAAATGGGAACTGGAAGTGTTTACTTCCACTGTGTGATTCTGCAACCTGCAGAGGAAAGAATTCCTGTCAGGCAGCAAACTGCACCCCTCTGTCCCAGGGGGTTTTCTTTCAGCAGAGCACTCCTTGGGTTTGTAAAGGAGAGGGAAAGAGGCACAGCTTTTGTTTGCAGCCAGAGGCCTGACCTTGTTGCTGGGGCTGCCTCTCTGTTATCAGGAGGGCAGAGGACGCTGTGCAGGCAGCTCTGGGGCAGAGATCAGGGGCACAGCAGGGCAGGGTGGGCAGCACTGGGGCAGGGCTGGCACAGCAGGGCAGGGTGGGCAGCACTGGGACAGGGCTGGCACAGCAGGCACAGGCTCTTTCTGGAGCAGCAGTGGTGCTGCAAGTGCTCCTGGCTCTGCTGAGGAGCTCTCCCAGGAATTCTCCCTGGAATCTCCCAGGATTTCAAAAAGACCTGCTGCTACTGTACCTTGTAGCCAAAGGGCCAGTGGATGAGGTAGAGATCCAGGTAATCCAACTTGAGCTTGGCAAGACTCTTCTGGCAGGCTCCCTTCACCAGATGCTTCTCATGAAAGGTGCACCAGAGCTGGAGACAAAAGGGGCAGACTGTGACCTCCTGGTTAATGCTCTGCAGTGCTCTCCTGCACAGCACAGGAATGCTCCCTGTTCTTTGGAAGGTGATGTGGCATGAGGCCATCCCAGTGTTCTTCAGATGTGGCAGGCTCTGGGCTGGGCCTGGCCTGTGGCTCTGAGGGCACTGTGTGCCAGTCTCTGGTTCCATGAGTTCACCCATCATGGGTGCTACCCCTTTCCCCAGGGTGTGCCTTGGCAGTAGGGGGCTTTCAGAGGCAGTGCTGTGTCTGAGTGTTGCTCCTGAGCATGCACAGAACTCTGCACTGCATGTAGCAGGCAAAGCCAAGAAGGTATAAGAGAAGCCACAAAGAGTGGTTGCCACCAACCTTTACTTAGGTAAGAAGTAACTCCAGATTCCAGCTAAGTATTTGCTGATGTCTGATTTTTGTAATAAGAAATACAACCCACCAACCCCACCTTCCCTGGGACACGTGCTGAGCAGATTACAGTGTCCCAAGGTGGCCAGAATGACTCCTCCCATGGCAGGGACACCCCTGTGGCAGTGCTCTGAGCCCAGCTGCTGGAACAAGCAGCAGGCAGTGACAGCCTGTGTGCCCTGCTATGCTTTAGCATCAGCAGGGTGTCATTAGCAACCTGCTAATGACACTGAGTGCTCTCTGGCCTCTGCATCATTACCTTGCCTGGGGCTACCTGGTCCCCTCTGCCTTTTCCTGCTTCCCTTCTTTTGCAGGAATCAATCCATCCCTCAGGACTGCTGGGTCACCACAGCAGGGTGCAGACCCAGTGTATCCTTCCTAACTCTCCCTGCAGGATGGGGTGAAGCGGTAAGCTTGCATCAGGAGCGACCTGAATGCTGTTCTGATTTGCTTTATCCTGCAGCATCAAGTTTGTCTCCATTACCTACCTTCTTGCTAGGAGAATACTCCACACAAAGCATTCCCTCAGCTGTGCTCCATGATCATTGGATTCTTACCTTGCTGACAACGAAGAGATCTTCTCTCTTCACAACACCTTCCTTGATTTTCTGCTGGATCCCTTCCCCAATCTCACTCTCATTCAGGTAGGCGTAGGCACAGTCAAAGTGCCGGTACCCGGCATCGATGGCAGCCGTCACTGCAGCTTTTACCTGCCCAGCTGCAGACTGGAAAAAATGCATAAATATTAATAATCTCAAAACAGTGCTTGTTAAACACCTGTATTCTAGCAAAATAAAACCATGTTAAGGAAAGAATTCCCCCCCCCCCCCCCAATCCAGCTTGATGGGGTTTTTTTTCCTTTACACGAACACTATTTCTTGCAGTGATAAACATGGACTCCAGGGTTGGAAATCAACCTCCAGCCATTTATCTGTAGCTCCACTCCAACTCACTCTCAGCCCAGCAACCAGGCAGAGCAGAGCCCCAGGCACCAGGACAGCTCTCCAGAGCTGGACCAGGGGCACTGCAGTTTTTTGGGAGCTCTGCAGTACAGCTGCTTTACTCTCTCTTACCTTCCAGGTGCCCAGCCCCACGACGGGCATCTTGGCAGAGGTGTTTAGCTGCACATGGGTTGCCATGGTCCTGCACTCCCTCCTGCTTGTCTCACCACAGCTGCCTCTTGCCTGTCTGGTTTGACAGTGGCCACTGGCCAGGGCAGGGGACAATGCAGGGGTGTCACTGGTGCTCTGGGCACTCCCATATGCAGCAAACAGGGCTGTGGCTTTATCCCTGTACACCCAGCTCACAAAGGTTAATGTGAAAGCTGAAATAAATTAAAAATTGACAACGTGATTTACTTGGGGCGTGGCAGCAGTGTGCCCTGTGGACCTTTCCCTTATCAAAAGATAAGGCTTGAGGGCAGGTGTTTCCTGATCAGGCTGGTGTTTCTGCTGGGATCAGCTCCTGCAGTGCCCTGTCCTGTCCCTGTGTCTCTCTTGTGCCATGTGCTGAGGTGTTCTGCAGTTCCCCTTGTAGATTTCCTGAGAGAGAAGGTTTCCTTCAGTGAAGTGTCCAGGTTTCCAGGTGTCCAGGTTTCCTTCAGTGAAGTGTCCAGGTTTCCTTCAGTGAAAGTGCCCAGGTTTCATTCCTGCCCAGTCCCAGGGCAGAGTGTGATGCAGAGGCCCCTCACTCCCAGAGCTGCTCTCTCACTGCTGGGTGTGTGAGTGTGGGCTGAGCCTTTGGCTGGAGCAGCATTTCCCCACCACAGTGCTGGTGGCCTGGGCTGGTCTCCCATTGACAGAGCCTTGTCACCTTGTGTGCTGATGCTGGAGAAACCTCAGTGTGAGGTTGCAGAGGAAGGAGTTCCTTTTCACCCTCCAAAGGTGTTGGCAGCCACTCCTCAGGCTGAAAGGTGAGGCACAGTGTAGAACAGGGAAGTTCACACAGGGCATGCATCCCAAATGTGAGAAGTAAAATTAAGTCCCTGCTTTTCCCCAGTCTTAACAGGATCATGCCTCTGGTAAAATTCCAGAACTGCCTTTTCTTTTTTTCTTTTCATCACTTCTCCTTGTTTTATTATTGTGGGCAGCAGGCATATCTCTATGGCTTGTTTTTTTAGCAGCCAGTGCAGTCATAAAGGAGTTTAATAATGCAATAACATGTGAGTGTAGAAGAGAAAAGGTGTCCTGTAGCTGCATGGTCATTGTGGATGCCATATATTATTACTGCCACAAACTAACACACCCTTTAGCACAAAACCAGAGCAGGATCCAGGGTGGATGGATGTATTTTAATGTTTGCACACACGGGGGCAGAGTTAAACTTGTGTGTGGCCACTGCTTTTGCATTTCTTCAGTCTTAACTCAGCAGATTGAATTGGGTACTGTATTCCTTAAATTTTGTAATAATGAGGAGTTGGAAAGTCTCTCTTCCTCTGCCTCTTTTCCTAAAAAAGTATAAGAAGAAAAAAAATAAAGGTAGCTTACATTTGTAATAAATAGACTTGAAAATTTTCTGGTAGGGACTTAAAAGACACAAACCTGGATTTAAAGAGGAAATTAGCCAGTTATCACTAACATACCAATTTTCTGAATTGTCTGATCCTTAAATTAAAGACACAAAAAAGAATTTCCTTTTCCCTGCTGTCTTTTGCATCGAAATGTACGAGACAGTCTCTTGCTTCAACTTATCACTCTGTCTCTAAGATGTTCCAAAACTTGCACTTTTAAGTGTTGTTATGCACGTGGAGAGGAAATCAAGTCTGTTTTCTCCCTCCTGTTAACAAGGCATTTACCTTCAACATTTATGTCCGAGGAGAAGCAGGAGGACTACCTAAAATTTAGTATGGTTGGATTTACTACAGCTGGGAGCCCTCTGCTGTGCTCAGCAGCTCCAGCTTGTCTTTGACTGCAGCTCCCTGTGGGGACTGTGGGCCATGTGCAGCTGGTGGGAAGCAGCGTGTGCTGTACAGACCTGGGCTGTTCGCTGCACATTTGCAGCCAGAGGCTGCTTCCATTGGGGAGTTTGCCATGGATTCAATAGCATGGCAATGAGCCATTTGTTAAAATGTCTGCCAACAGTGCCAGCTCTTTGTTCTGCCAGTGCAGCACCAAACTCTGCCTAACCTCTTCTGCATGTTGGTGTGCTCAGAATGGCTGCATGTTGTGATTTCAGCACTGTGCCTCATCCCCAGAGATCCCCTGTGTTCCCCCTGCAGCAGCAGTGGTGGCTCAGCAAAATGGGCAGAGAAAATTCCTCAGCTCTGCATCCCAGTGTTGGCCTGGCTATGCTGGACTCTGGGGGACAAACCAAGAACAGAAGGGCATTCCCCACTCTGCAGTGTAAACCAGTGAGCTCAAGAGGTGCTGGGATATCATGCAAAGCTGAGAAAGTAGCTGCTCAAAATGGCCTTTTTTCTAATTTCTCTCACTCACTGTATGTCACCCTCTGGAGCAAGGAGGGATTTCCAGAAGCAATAGTCACAGTCTGACCTTTCCAAGCACTGGGCACACCAGAAGTTGTTTCAGAAGACTGAAACAATATATTTTGGGTTCTGAGAAAAACCCAGCCAGTTGTGTTCTGAAGCTGGAGTAACTTTTACTGTTACAAATAGAGGAAAGGGGAAAATCTGGGGAACACCAAGTTGAAACTACCCTAAAGAGGAACCTTTTAACTTAGCAGAACTGCAGGAAGCTACAGTTCTTGAGAACTACATCAAATGAGGTGGTGGTTTGGTGATAAAGAGAAGTGTAACTTGCCAAAAAGTGGGTACCTGAGGGCAAACAGGACAGGAAGATAAAGTTAATAAAACTGTCAGGCAGTGGGGAGCAGACCCCTGGAGGCAGTGGAGGAGGTGTTGACAGCAGACAAGGGCAAAACAAGGCATGTTCATGATATTCCCAAAGAATAATATAGTTATATTTTCTTCTGAGTCTTGTCTACATGAAAATCTTGCACTTTTTCATTATGCTGATGCAAATGCCTTTTTTGGACACATATCAGTTGAAGTATGTTGTGTATTGATTTAGCTTAAATCCCTTCCTTACCACTTCAGTTAAAACTGTAGAAACTACTCCAGCAAAATAACATCCATCTTCCTAAAGACTTCACATTAATTTAACAGCATCAGCTTTTGAAATGGTTTAATTAAACTGCAGCTTCCTTGCACAGGCCAGGACTGGTTGCTGCGGAAGCAGAAACATGTCAGTGTCTTTTGTGTCTTTTCTTTAACTTGTAAAAAGAAACCTTCTGATCACAGACTGGAGAGGTGGATTAATGTGGGACTGGCAAATACTTTGCTTGATTTTCTCTAGGTCAAGCCCTGTAAAAAGAGCAGGTACCAAAGCATCAGCACAGACCAAACCTTCTCAGTTGTTTCTGTGGGAGAATGGGCTTTGTAATGAGGGGATAGGCAACCTCAATTAAATAGGAAGAACACCATGGCCAGCATCCAAACCCATCTCATCTATAAATGGAAAATTTACCCATCCCAGACCTACATTCCTGTCCAGTTCTGTTGGTAGGCATGGTTATCACAGGAATGGGATTTTCCTTTCTCCTATATGCAGACTGTAGGTTTTCCAAAGCTCATCACTTTAGAGAACTGTTGACTACTTTTCTTGCCAAGTAGAGGCTCTTGTTCTCATGGAAAAATATTTTCATGCTTTCTTTCAAGTTTCAGCAGTGAGCCATGTCTGGTTTTGACAAGGAAAAGGACGCTTTGAATGTCCTAAGAGTGGAGGAAGAGACATGTTTTCCATTTGAAAAAACACAAAAGTTTTGAAAAGTGTTGGAAATATTTTCCTCATGTTTGAAAAACAAAACAAAACGAAGCACGCAGTAAAACCAATGAGTTCATCTTGATTAGGAACAACATGAAAAAATACCAGTGTGGGATCTGTACAGTTAGAGCTGAATAGAAATTGCTTTATAACCTGAACTCGTACACAACAGGGGAGCCAGATGGTTTTAGCTGACTGAGTTACTCAGGTTTTGTAAATACGAGAGCAGAACCTCATGTGGTGTTTCTCCCGTCACATGGCAGGACCCATGGGCAATGTGAACATTTAGTGGGGATGTGAAAGGTCCAGTGATTGCCACAGAAGTTGGGCTCATTGTCCTTCACTAATCCATGGCTGTGCAGTTACTGCACTCTGTGCTCCAGGTCTGCTCTAGGGTTGGTCAGATGGGCTCCTGCACTCTCAGCATCTGTCATTTCCAGAAGGAATTCAGGATGTGCAGAGAGGTTGTATTTGGGTTGCCCCCAGACGTAGGAAGGAATGATGAATCTGACTCCATGTTCTCAGAAGGCTAATTTATTGTTTTATGGTACTATGTTATATTAAAGAATATTCTACTAAACTATACTAAAGAATACAGAAAGGATATTTAGAGAAGGTTAAAAAGATAATAATGAAAACTTGTGACTCTCTCCAGAGTCCTGACACAGCTTGGCACTGATTGGCCATTGAGTCAAAACAACTCACACCAGAATCCAATGAAACAATCACCTGTGGTTAAACAATCTCCAAACACATTCCACATGTGAGCACAATACAGGAGAAGCAAATGAGATTAGAAATTTGTTTTCCTTTTTCTCCAAGGCTTCTCAGCTTCCCAGGAGGAAAATCTTGGGCGAAGGGATTTTTCAGAGAATGTGAATGTGACAGGGAGGAGGCCATGGCTGAACATTGTTTTACCATGAGGCTTCCAGCAATGGTCTTGGCTGGGGACTCTGCTTGTCCTGCAAGCAGGACCTGTGTGGAGCCCCAGGGGCTGGGAAGGGATGGTGGCCATGTGTGGGCTGCTGCAGAAGCCAGGAAAATCAGGAGAATTGGTTTGGCCTGTGTGTAGTCCCAGCTGTCCCCCCCAAATTACGTGCAACCATAAGAGCAGATAAAGTGGCTTATTCATCTCTACAGTTTCTGTATTTTGAGAAGGGCAAGAAGTCTTGGTCCAACAGCATGGGTCTCATTTGTGGTGTCTTTTAGAGACATTGTACCCTTCCCCAAAAAGAACACAGGTTGTTGCCAGATGTATTCTACTTCTGCAAATTCCTTCTTAAGAAGGGCAGGACCGTAGTGCCCATTTTGTCCCTCACACATGCCTCGTATTGACCTTGGCTCAGTCCCTTGTTTGA